TTTGTTTGTTGCACCTGCCTTAAAGAAAAAAGCTGGGGTTGCTTTATATATAAAAAAACATCTTTCACCCATTTTAAAAGAAGCTGATAAAGAAGGAAGATTTTTATTTGTGGAAATAAATTTAAATGGAAGAAAGTGTTTAATAGTGGGGGTTTATGCTCCCAATCAACTGTCATCTCAAAAATTATTTTATAGACAATTACATCAGAAGATTGTCGCTTTGGATTATAACTCCTTGATTTTTATGGGGGACTGGAATGGAGTACCTGACACTTTAAAAGATAAAAAGACAACTTCTAGGGATGTGGCCCTTTCCAGACTCCCCAAGTCTTTTTTTGCGATGATGGAAGATCTGGAGCTGGTGGATGTTTGGAGATCACAACATATGAATGAACGTGACTTTACCTTCTTCTCTCACAGACATGAGTCTTTCTCAAGGATTGATTTTGTTTTGTTATCAACTGATTTGCTTATTGACTGCAATAAAACAAAAAATTTTCCTAGAACAGTCAGACCACAGTATGGTATGGATAGAGATAGGCCAATATAAAAAAAGGAAATCCTGGAGAATAAATGAAAATTTGTTTAATCACGAGGAGAAGCTCAAAGTTTTGAAGGACTATATGGAAGAGTTTTTTCAACTTAATCTGAATAAGGATACCCCTATATATACTGTCTGGGATGCAAGTAAAGCTTATTTGAGGGGTCTGTTAATTTCTATGAACAATGCACATAAACGTAAGCAAATACAGAATAGAATAAACTTGGAAAAAGAAATTGGGATTAAAGAAAAATTATTATCCCAGCGGCCAACAGATATCAACTTGAAGGCTTCTATTAAACTACTTAAGGATCAATTTAATATCTTAATTGCTGATCAGGTGGCCACCAATTTGAAGTATATTAAACATAACACATTTGCTAATGCAAATAAACCAGGGAGATGGTTGGCCTACCAATTACGCAAGAGACAGAAAGCCAGACTTATATCTAAAGTTGTGGTTAAGGGCCGCGAGGTACATCAACATGAATTGATTAAGAAAGCGTTTACAGAATTCTACTCACACTTATATGCTGCTGGGTCTATAAAAATTGAGGATATTGATAAATACTTACAACTTTCATCCATATATAAACTTACACCAGAACAACAGAAACTGATGAATGAAGAGATCACTGCAGATGAAATTCTAAATGCAATTAAACAATTGAAAACTGGCAAAGCTCCTGGTACGGATGGTTTGAGGAGTGGTGATGGAGGGACCTACTTATAAAGATTTGTTATACCAGAGTGGTGGTGGTAACTGGTGCCTAAAATCAATGGATGAGTTAAAGCAAAACAACCCAAACTTTTCTTGGCTTTTGTATGGACAAATTCAAGATAGATGGCGAATTGATAAAAAGACTTCTTTTGTTTTGGAAGATGGGATTTTTTTGAAGCAAATAAGAGATGGTGCCAAAGCTCATATCAAGAGGATATATAATGTTTTATTAGAATTGGACTCAGAAACTGAACTAGTCAAAGACTGTATGATTAAATGGGCTCAAAATATAGGAGAAACAATACCTATGGACACTTGGGAGCTGATATGGGTGAGAAATGTGAAGTTTACACAAGCACAAAATTTACGTGAAAATTTTTATAAGATGTTTTATAGATGGCACTTGGATCCTTCAACTATGTCTCGTATTTATCCGAATTATGAATCCAAGTGCTGGAGATGTGGTCATCCAGATGCAACTTTCTTTCATATGTGGTGGACTTGTAAGGTTATTAAGGCCTTTTGGGTACAATTATGGTGGAACTTACAGCAGATTTTTAAAAAAAGGATTATTTTCCTACCACAGTTGTTTCTTTTAGGTATTGTGCAAGATTTAGATGCAAAAGAAATAAATTTGATGCTTTATTGTTTATCTGCTGNAGATTGAAAGTTTCGTATCTTGCTGAAATGGCAAAGATTTCGGCTTACTTGAAGAACCATTCGAATGAACAATTTTTATCAATATGGAGAAGATGGATTGTTTATATTCAAAAGAAACATAGAGTGGTAGAATATAATTTAGGTTTTTAGATTTTCTTAAGTTTGTTTATTTCTATCTTTTCTTGTAGATTAAGATATTCTGTGGAGTTAGAGATATTAGTATTTGTTTACTTTTATATGAATATTATCCTGGGATTAGGTTTGGGAAGTTCTGGGGGGGGTGGGGGGTTATTGATTGTTTATTGTGATTACCTATGATTGTTTTTTTATGATGGAAAAATAAATAAAATTTTCAAAAAAAAAAAAAATTATTTCCTAATAGTTAGTTTTCATTTCCCTTATAAGTCTAAGTCCTCAATATTATGCCAATTAATCCCTTATTTTTTTATTATTTTCCAACAATTTTTAAATCTAATAATCAAATTTCCCCTCATCTTAAAATCTCCCTTTAGCCCATTAGTTAAGACTTTAGGATCCTCTCTAATAAATCAAACAACCCCATTTTTTAAACCTAACTCTAGCTTTCTTTTTATGCCAACCAGGCTTCCATACCAATGCTTTTAGATCATCAGATAGATCTCCCTTCATTCTTGTACATGTTACTTGAATTAAAGGAGACCATCTAATTGTAAATTTTTTGGAGGGACTGGCCCATTAATAATCATTAAGTTGTCACCCTAATGGCTCAGATCCCCATATTCCCTCAGAAGGGGAAGAATTTCAAAAAGCGTTGCTTTCGAAGTGCTTGTTTGTAATTTTGGCCTCGGCTGGTAGCAGCTTAGTGACGGGCCATGTTGATGGCCAGTCTTTTCCCCGTCAGTTAGAAGAGCTGCCTCAGATCAAACGGGAGGGCTGCTGTCCTTCCGTGATCACTCGGGGGTCCTCTTCACAGTCGTCACCCTGGTCCCCCGGCGGGAGAAAACAATTGCCCCACACGTCCACCTGAGCCGCGATTGCAAACCGGAAGCCCCTCCAATTGCATTTTTAACAATGGCAAAAAAAAAAATCTGCCCTGCCAGAGTTATGACAAGCAAGACAGTTGCTAATCACTTAAGCACTCCAGAGAGTGCTTAAAACAAGAGCTGTGGCATTTTATAATGACTAGAGCAGACAAGATTGCAAATACTACAAATATGGTTTTGCAAATCAAAACCCATCTATGCTAGGGAATTGCTTGATTTCAGAAAAGCATGTGCTTGAAGCAGGTGGAAAGCTGGATGGAAAAGCAGGGTATTCTGTGTGAAATATTTCTATATTTTGGATGCAAATAGGTGACAAGCATTTGTTTCAATGGGAATAAGTTGTTGGCACTGTAACAACTTTGGGAGAAATTGACATTTATGATGCTATGTGAACTTCATTTTTCAGAATTTATGCACTGGTGTATATTTAATAAAGTTTTACCTGCAGGTACAGATAGTGCTCGACGTACATAATTGAGTCTGGGATTACAGTTGTAAGTTGTGTTGGTCGTTAAGCGGGACACCACATGAGTGAACCCAATTTTATAACCTTTTTTTGTCATGGGCATTAAGTGAATCACCATAGTTACTTTGTGAACACACCATTTGTTCAGTGAATCCATTGTCTGCAATGGGTGTTTTTGCCAGAAACCAGAAGTAAGTGTGGCTTTTCAGCAAAAAAGTCACAAATCTCAGTCATGTGACTGCAGGACAGTGGAAACAGGTGTAAATATGGGCCAGTGGCTGAGTACCCAAAATGTAATTATGTGATGTGTGTGTGTGTGTGTGCGTGCGTACGCATGCACCATCATAACTTCAAATCCAGGTTGTAAGTAGCCTTGGAAAGGTCTGCCATCATTTTCAACAGGTAGTAAGCGACAGATCATAAGTCAAGGTCTACCTGTATTCCGCTTTGCTTTTTAGCAGCAAGATTTACATTGATGTTTTACATACATGTTATGCCTCTCTCATACACCTGGATCTAACCATCAGTTCTTTTAAAGGAGCGCTCCCTCAGTTTTACTCACAAATCAGTCCCTCTGCATTTGCAAAGGTTTAGCTCAGTTTAATGAGTCATTCTCTGTTACTTTCAGCAGAGGAATTTCAACATGGTGATGGTAAAACATCCCTATTAATTAGTAATTTATCAATCACGTCTTTATGTACCAATTTTTATCTCACTGTAACTTTTTTTTAAAAAATAAAGCAATTAGATCATGAATGATGCGTTAGGAGGGGGGAGTCAAAATCCCTGATTAGAACATAAACGTTTGCTCAGCATTTTGAAATGTTGGTACTTATAAAAGTATGGTCCAAGTTTGGATTGCAGATAGTGTATTTAACTTTAGTGCCAAATGAGAAGATTGATCTGTCTGCAATTATGCTAATGTTGTATCCTGCAACAGTTCTGTAGACTAATACTGTAATTATTACTGTGACACTGGTTTTTATATTATGAAAGACCCTGTTTTATGAAAAAATTTATCCCACTGTCCCAGAAACATTTGAATTTTTGCCAATACTATTAACAGAAAACAGCACTTACCTGAGACTATCAGAGAAAGATTCCACCCCATATTTTGAAGGACAGTAGCCTCCACCAAACAAACTTAATCGGCCCATTATGCTTGCAATGTTGACAATACGTCCCTTGGCTTTTCTCAACAATGGTATCATATGTATGGTCACATCAATCACACCAAGTAGATTGATATCTATGATTTTCTTGAAATCCTCCTTGGTTAGCCACTCATTTGGGGCTGTCGGGACAGAAACACCGGCATTGTTTACCAATCCCCAAAGTCCTAATAAGAAAAAAAAAAAACAAGGGACGTCAACTATGTGAAAAAAGGCTTTTACAGCATCGCTCTGGAACACCCTCTCTTGTTATACATTAGGCACGCAAATCTTGTTCTTTAAACATGTGAAGAAGACAGCTTAGAGATTATCTAAGACAGAGTCCCCTGGTTCATGGACCAGCAATGATCCGCGATATGCCAGAAACTGGTCTGCACAAACCAGCAAAGCCCCATCCGCGGGATGCATGTGAAACCATGCCCTCTCCGGTCAGCAGAAAACCTCTCTCCACGGAAGCGGTCCCTGGTGCCCAAAATGTTGGGGGCCACTAACCTAAGACAACCAAACTGTATTCCCTGAAAACAGAACAAAATTAAGCAACTGATAAATATTTCTGTCCTTCAACATCCTCCGCTTTGAAACATCAAACTTAAAACTCACTGAATGTTTATAAAAGTAAGGAGAAAAAAGATAGCACAAACAAACCTAACAAATATTATCTCAGGGGTCAACTGTTAAGCTGTTGGGTGAGGAACAGGGAGGCCCAGGCTAATATATGTTAATGTAAATGATAACATAACATAACATAACATAACATAACATAACACAGTAGAGTAAGAATTAGAATTAGAATCAGAAATAGAAATAGAATCTTTATTGTCAGTTTAAATGTACACTAATCCAGGGGTCCCCAACCTGTGGGCCGTGGCCCACTAGTGGGCCATGAGGGTTTGTAACTAGACCATGGAAATAGCTGGTGAGTTGGCATGTGCACGCACATTCTCAATTGCATAAACAGTGGGAGAGAGCATGAGCACTTGCTCTATTTGTGTGAATGGCAGGTGTGCGTACATGCCACTTGCACAAATGGAGCTGTGTGCAGGTGCTTACCAGCCACTTGCGTGAACCATCCCCTCTACTTCCGCAGGTTCATAAAGCCGGAAACATTGGGGAACTCTGCACTAATCAGCATACATTAAAATGGAATTTTGTTGCATTCAGCTCTCAAGAAAAAAAATACCATTATGCACATACCCACATACGCATACACATATGACACAGAGAAATAAACTGAGCTTAGGTATGCAGGGTCCAATTCAGCTCTCAAGAGCTGGGATTTATGGAAGCCTAATCTCAACTCACAGACTTGGGAAGGTTAAATAATATTTTTGGCACATCTCCCTAGTAAACAATAAGACACATTGCAATATACATCTTGGTCACTTCTTTTAGAGTTATGTTTGCTTAGAAAGGCCATACATTTTCCTTCTAATGTGCAATGTTCTCATTAAAACCTGTTTTGTGACTCACAATGGGGTACTCAGAGTTCTCTTTCATTTTCCCTACAAGAATAATCCTCGAAAAAGATTAGAGGAGAGTGACTGGCCCAAAGTCACAAAATGAGAATAATCTAGAACCTAGGCTTTCCTACTCTTAACCTTACTCTTAATCTTATCAGCAAGTTGGTTGCCGATTTCATGCAGCAACCAACTTGCTGATAAGATTAAGAGTAAGGTTAAGAGTTACTTCTCCCAGCAGTAGTGGATGTTTGTCACGCCAGGCATATATCAGATTGACTAATTTCACATTATTTGGAGACTGTCCCAATTTTTATGGACTTGCAAGATTGACTTCTAACATTATCTTCATTAGAAGGTTGCTGTGACAGAATTGAAAGCACATTTTTTCCCCCTTGCCTTTACTTTCTAGGGCAGGTCTTCCTCCTCCTGTCTCCCAAGGATATTCCCACAGATTATTCCCCCATGATTTCATGCAGCAACCAACTTAAATATGATGAACATGATTTTATTTGCCTTGGCATTTGATAGCTACTAATGAAAACTTCCCGGTACTTGTGGTCATTTTTCATAAGTCTTATTTGTGGGAATAATCTGTGGGAATATCCTTGGGAGACAGGAGGAGGAAGACCTGCCCTAGAAAGTAAAGGCAAGGGGGAAAAATGTGCTTTCAATTCTGTCACAGCAACCTTCTAATGAAGATAATGTTAGAAGTCAATCTTGCAAGTCCATAAAAATTGGGACAGTCTCCAAATAATGTGAAATTAGTCAATCTGATATATGCCTGGCGTGACAAACATCCACTACTGCTGGGAGAAGTAATAGTGCAGTTAATCCTTGTTTAGTGAAAATGATTAGCTATAAATCTTGTCTAGTGGTTATGGCACCATGTTAGAAACCAGAAGATGTGAGTTCTAGTTCTGATTTAGGAATGAAAACCAGCTGGATCACTCAGCTTCTCTTGAGGTCAATTCATCTCACAGGGTTGTTGTGGGGAAAAGAGGAAGAGGAAGGAATATTAGGTACAGTATGCTCACTGTCTTCAGTCATTTATAAAAATAATAAAGGCAGGATGAGAACTTGAAAAAAATTGAAACTGACAAGTTGGCTGTTAGGTGAAGCAGTCATTAAGTGAGACCCTGTTCTTACTTCAACTTTCCTTTGCTTTACAAATCCGTGAAAATTGCAAATAAAGGCACTGGCTGCAAAATTGCTTTTTCATCATCATCATAACTGCAAATGGTTATGCAAGGCAATTGTTAAACAAAGACTACTAATAATAAAAAATACTGATCTGATCGATAAGCAGCTAGCATTGAATCTGGATCGGCAAGCAAAACCACTTCAGTATTTAAGTCGGTATATTCTTTTCTGGGTAAAACAAAGCTGGCCATATCAAAAGCCAGTTACCTTATTTTAATGCATTTCTATGTATAATTTTTGAGGTTGGAAGCCCCAGTCACTATAACACCAGGGGTCTTCAAACCTGGCCCTTTTATGACTTGTGGATGTCAACTCCCAGAATTCCTCAGCCAGGCACACTGGCTGAGGAATTCTGGGAGTTGAAGTCCACAAGCCAAAAAAGGGCCAAGTTTGAAGACCCCTGCTATAACATAACAATTAACTGTTATAAAATTACCATAAATCCAGACAGTAAATGCTGATTGCATTTAATACTAAAGCCAGCAAATGTTGATAAAAAGTGAAGACTAATCTTATGGGACATATGTACTATATTCCAAGATTAGTGGGGCAAGGGAAAAATTGAGCTTTCCTGTTGTTGCTAACACATGGCTGTGTTGGCTGGGACTGCATAGAACTTACACATCTGGATGGCCACCACAACCTGATTCAACCTGTGGTCAGCCATTTACATCTTTATTACCAAGCCAATTGCAATGTGCACCATTTTCTGAAACCCCTTGTGAGGAGAAAGATCAGTAGCAGCCTCAGAAGACACAAGGAGCAAGAACAAAACTGTACTGTATGTAGTGCAGGGCAAGCAACCTTGCAGGGGTTATGGACAACTCCTGAAATTGTTTGCCATCGTCTGTGCTCAGGCTGATGGGAGTTGCAGTCTAAAACATCTGCAGGGTAACAGGGCAACAGTTCAGTCCAGTTTAGTAACTCTTGCCTCCGATACATAGTAAGGAACATTTTTCATTGAAAGAAAAGGGTTGCTCAACAGTCACATTGTCTAATATGTACAGAGATAAAGAAAATGGACTTCAAACCTAGAGAAGCTAGGGTCAAAATCTCCTGCTTAGTATCTTTTTTATGTATCAGTTTCAGAGGTCTGTAGTGATAAAAAGTGGGGCTATCCCTTCTGTAAATTCACTCTAATTTACACAAGAAGAATAAATACATTTATTATTCTATTTTAGTCAAACCCTAAAGACAACCCAAGAGTGCCTGATTTCTGTGCCAACCTTTGTCTCCCACTTGGCTTTTCACCCATTCCGTTGCTTTGTCCAAACTTTCTGTGCTGTTGACATCTATGAGGGTGGTCTGCAACCGTTCTGACGTGGCTTCTTTCAGCTTCTCTGCAGCCTGCTGGGTCAAACAACCTGCCAAGACCCGAAGACCTTTCGCATCCAACTGTCGAGCCAGGAGATTGCCAAATCCAGAGTCACAACCAGTTATGAAGACATATTTCTCTGTCAGGTTTGGCAAAATCTCTTTTTCACGGTACCAACGGAACAGGAAATAGAACCCCAGCAAGGCCACCACATAAAACCACATGGTCTTCTAATATTTCTGTGGCTGGAAAAGAAGAACATTATTGATGTTTGATTACCAACCGAATGGAGGGAGAAGAGGCAAAAATAATCAATAAACAATTCTTTGACCATTCTTTGACCAAGTGACAAAATTAGTGGATGAGAGGAATGCTGTGGATATAATTTACTTGGACTTCAGTAAGGCATTTGA